ATTAAAATTTTTATTAGATCTAAAAATTTACTATAAGCTTAAATAATTTATTATGACATTTTATACGTGCATATTCTAATTTTCTTGTTAATTTTACGTTAAAATAATAATTATATTTTTAAATTTATAATGTTAATTCAAAAAGTAGTTTGTTTATTTACAAAATAATTGCATAACAACATCAAAAATAAGAAAATATAAGAAAACAGCTATGGAATTTGTGGGTATTTTTTACCTATCGAATGTTGTACTACTTCTGCTATCCGATATTAGTTTTAATGACAGGTATTAGGCTTTAGGGAGGTGGGAGGTGTGCGGTGATCAATTAATCTCGTTCCCTAAGGTATGAAAATCATTATCGCAAGACCCTCTGCGGGTCAGTTTCTGCAACATCCATTAGGAGGACTGTCAGGAGTTCTGGAATTCGACGAATCTCTGGAATAATTTCCAAATAGGAACAGGCGATTGAATCGCTTAACGATGGAATACGTTTATTTACCGAACGTTTGAAGGAAATTGATACGTCAGTCCACGCCGTTCACCACCCATTGGGGAGAAACGTTTATCAAATTGTTAAATATTGTTTATTTAGCGTTTCCGTCTGAAGTACCGGTCTCTCTGGCACATGTCACCAATCAAACGCGCCAATGTAAACACTTTTCACATATCTACTCTTCTATGCAATATTAAGCTTCTTCTATCGTTTGGCTATTTTCCTGATCGAAACTGTTAATAATATTAGATTAATTTGAAGTTCCAAATCAACGAGAAGGATCTTAATCCTTTACTTAAGATGCGCTAACTTAATCGTGTATTAATTAGTACTCTACACAGGCCTGCGTACTAATTATAAGTAAGATCAGAACGCCAAGAATGTGAAATTATCTAGAATCTGATCTTGATTAATTTACTATTTTACGGAATATAATTTAAAATATTTACTGTAAACTGTTTAAATAATAACTATTTTTATTAATTATATATTTTATTTTTAAAAAAAAATCATAGAATCTCTGCAATTTTTCATGTCAAACTTAGACATATTGAATCTGTTTTCACTAAAACTAAGGCCTATATAAATTTAATTTACATACAAAGTAATGCACCGTACTTTTGTAGATTTTTCAGTAATTTCGTTTAAATTCCGAAAAATCAAATCGTAATGTATTTTTGCATCTTAAAACTAGATTCGAATAAAATTGCTGTAACGTAGATAGAATCTAAAACAACCTTTACAACTATAATTTAGTTAGCCTATAGGGCTTATGTTGCATGACTTACCTACAGAACACACTGATAAGGAAGAAACAAAAAAACTTAGTTTATTAATTTCATTAAAACGATCTAATAGTGTGATAATGCAATATTTAATTCAATTAATAATCTATTAAAATATTTTCTTATTTTTAAATAAATTAAAATCTAATTTCATTGTAAATTTTACCTACCCCTAAAAACTTCTTTATGAGTAAATTATATTAATAAAATCTATTCTATTCCTCTTTTATAAAAACATATGATCTTTATAAATACTTATTGACACATTCCAAACAAATTTCGATAAATTTATAGAAATTTTAAAATAGGTTTTTGTTTACGAATGAGTCTTTCTTTTCGTCAGCAAAATATCAATAGTAACATGTTATATTCTACAAAATACTGTATTTATTTTTGTTTCTTCATATTTGTTGATTTAAAGAAAGTGAATTTTTTGAGTTTTATTAATCTCGATTAATTTAAATGTTTAAAAAAAATGTTATTTAGTGTTATAAATTTTAATAATTTTAAAGAGATATTGATAAACTTAATTTCTATAAATTATTCAGGAATATCGGTGTGTAAGATATTCCTGAATAAAGAGTGATGTTAAAGATGCCCAGTGTCTACCTAAGCACCCAGTTGCGAAGTAAAGAAGAATTAATTTGTATAAATCTTTCATTTAAATGCAGCGAAATATATGACTAATTAGATTATTTATTCGTCTGCTTGTTTACAGTAAAATTAATTTACATTTTTCAATTTTAGGGGAATTTTTTTATCTTCTTTGGAAAAGTGTAAAGAAAATATGATTTGATTCTTTCAAATGTTTCAGAAAATAAATTAGTTATAACTTTTATTCACGATTAGTTTACAAGAACAGTTGCTTTAATAACTAAACTGAAGCAGCACCATTCAAAATTGTTCACGTATCATTTATATTAGGAAAAAAACTGATGTATTCTAATGCTGAAATGCAGCGTAATCGACAAATAGATTATAATGTCAACAGAAACAAACTGTTCTTAATCCCGACAGATTAACAATATCTTTCGAATAAACCCTCATATCAATTTTAAACTTGAGAATTCTAAATTCGGAGAGACAAAATAATAATATCTCTGCAGAGATAGATTACATCAGGTAAAACTGATGTTGATTAGATTACGTTTAAAAAATAAACGGAAATATAGTTAAATTGTTTAATAACGTAAATTTAATTTGTAAAATGAAATATGTCATATTATGAGCTTATAAAAATATTTTAATACATTCTCTGCTATTGCTACTTACAAAAAATGTATTAATGATAAGGCTTACGATTATGAATTTATAGTATCATTTAAAAAAACATTATAATTAATTTAAATCAGTCTTAAATAATAGACACGGTATTAATTGACTTTCTTAACTTAGTAACTTATAAGGTCTATTAAAAAGTTATTTATAAATATCATGATAAGTTATAGAAGTCTCACGATGCTATAAAAGTTTATTTCGAACAACAATATATTTGCATATCTAAAAATAAATATTCACATCAATATTCATAATAAAATAATGATAATCCATCACCATATGAAGAATATTAAGTTAGTATAAAAAAAATANCATAGAAAATTTAAAACTTTTATTAAAATCAATAAAAATTAATTTTTGTATATCTATTCTACAATGAAAATTATATTTCTTATATACAACTTAAACAATATTAGTTATTTATAAATATATTTTACATATGCTTCGACTCATATCTTAGGGTTATATAATGTATCATGCATTACACGAACTTTCTAAAAAGTACAAAACGTTTATACTCTTTCAAATGAAAATTATATTTCTTATAAAACGGATAGACTATCATGAATCAATCATGAGATTAGTCCTACTAATCTATTCAGAATAACGGGAAAGTATGGATTTGAATACCTGTGTTATTATGTTATAGGCTACTAATTTGAGCAATTTATCTTATAAATGCAAATTCAGTCAAATTGCGTTTGAGCGAGAGAAAGATTAATAGGTCAATTCCTATGGAAAGCAACCATCAATAGAGAAACAGAGCAGAAGATCGATATCAAAGGGTAGCTTCCTACTGCAGTAGCAGAAGTCTCCCTTTTGTAATATTACGTATGTCTAAACACTAAATATGAAAGTAGAAAAGAAAAAAATTGTCCTTATCTTATCATCTCGACGTCCCACTTTTAAAAGTAAATAGACCAATTATGTAATTTGTGAATATTCTTACATTTATTTTCGAAATTAGAGAAGTGACCTTTTTTTTACACGAGTAGCAACTAATTTCATTACTGCGTTAAAAACGTAACTACGGGTTATAATTATACGCTTTAATAATCATAAATTACAAATTTCAAAATGAAAGGTAAGATTAGATGCGATCGTTTAATAATAGAACTAGTTCAAGTGAGTAAAACATTTAGCTAATGTTGCATCGACGGTAATAAAATGTAGAAGATTAATTAATCAATGGAAAAGATTATCTATTTTTGCAAAAAAGATAAAAAGAAATGTATATTTAAGAGAAAGCAACTCTTCACTATAGAAAAAAACAATAACTATAATTTATCATACTAGAAATTAAATGACATTGATAAGCTAAGTAACGTGAAACCAGTTTTTTTCTTCTTAAATTCAGGTTTATAGTTGACTGTGAAGAATTAATCTTTTTAAAGAAATTCAATATTACGTCTACGCAACTTACAGATCAATTTGTAAAATCCCCTATTAACTTTAAATATCTCCATTTGCCTAAAAGCATAATATAGGCCTACACTTAATTTAGGATAATTAAAATTAATTTAATAGTTTTTTTTAATTATTAAGACATATCGACGATCCTCGTTCAATTAATTACTCTTGATTTTTCGAACTAAATTCAATGCAAAATATATATAGGCTATATTTAAATTATATAAATTATATTTTTATCATTTAATAGAATCTATACAGAATAATTAGAACGGATACTGGTTACGTTTATCGATTAAAAAAATACTAAATGCTCAACTTTTTTAATTATCAATATATTTTTAATGTAAAGGTTTTATCATTACGTTTTATATTTTTATTAGACGGAGAGTAATTCATTATTTACTATTTTGGATTTGATTCGAATAGTTTATACAAAAAAGGTTCATTTATAAATCGAATTAAAAGAATGATTAATTTATATAGACTACTGGAATTAAGTTAAATTAAGTAAATGACGATATTGAAAAAATGTTTAGATGCATTTTAAAAAATAAGGCCCGAATTGGATCAACGACCCTCAGTTTCGGAAGAGGTGGACGAAAAATTGTGTAAACGAGAATGCAAAGTTAACAAAATTATTCTCAAATAGCTCGGTCTAGAAGAAACTCCTATCGACTTACAACATCTTTCTGCCCCCAACTTCTTTCATCCCGCCTTCTTCGACCATTTGACTGATAGTGACAATTTCGCTAAACCCCACCTACTCAAATTTGGGGAGGTTCCGACTGTCGACAGATTCTCGATTATATATTACAAGCAAATGGAAAGATAAATTAGCTAATACAGCAGCTATCTACTTACGTATTTTGAGGGCGGAAGTCCAGTACGGGTCATTTAAAGATTTTTGTTTCGTTCGAACCTTTCAAGCGGGCATTACTGCATGGGCAGAAGGTTGTTGCGAACGGTCCGACCGGCGGCGCAATGTCTGCACAGAATCCATGCTGACGGCTGGAGTAGCGACGTTGCGACCTCCTCGTCTCATTGGCGGTTTGTCTTTCGTGGGAGGATCTTGCAAGGAACGCCTCCTCGGTAGTGTGGGAAGTCGCGTACTTGGTCTATGTTCGTAGATCAAGCAGACTAGATGTCACGTTCGTCTGTAGGTAAATATACGATCTGTACGGCGACTGTCGGCGTCATACGGTGACGTTGGTTTGCAGTCGGTCGCCGTTCTGGCAACGATGCTCGTACCGCCGGACATGATGGCTGCACAGTCGAAACTCCTTTATCAATTGAACAAATTTTACGGCGAAAGAGTACAAGTGAGAAAGGCAACCATTGCCAAAACGGTGAGAGAAGTTTGTAAAGTGGTTCAAGATGTATTGAAAGAGGTGGAAATTCAGGAGCCTAGGTTTATTTCTTCGTTGAGCGAGTGCAATAGTCATTACGAAGGGTTAGAAGTAATATCTCCCACAGAATTCGAAGTGGTTCTCTATTTGAACCAAATGGGTGTGTTCAGTTTCGTGGACGACGGTTCTCTACCGGGCTGCGCCGTGTTGAAGCTAAGTGACGGTCGCAAGCGTTCCATGTCCCTCTGGGTGGAGTTCATTACCGCCTCGGGTTACTTATCGGCCCGAAAGATTCGATCCAGATTCCAGACTTTGGTGGCTCAGGCCTGTGACAAGTGTAGTTATCGAGACACGGTGAAAATGGTAGCCGACACCACAGAAGTTAAACTCAGAATCAGAGAACGGTACGTAGTTCAGATAACTCCAGCCTTTCGGTGCACGGGCCTGTGGCCTCGGTCTGCGGCTCATTGGCCTATCCCTCATATTCCTTGGCCTAATCCCAACTTGGTTGCGGAAGTAAAAGCGGAGGGTTTTGACCTTCTGTCTAAGGAATGCGTAACTTTACAGGGAAAACAATCGTCTATGGAAGGAGACGCCTGGGTGCTTAGTTTTACCGAAGCCGAAAATCGACTCCTTCAAGGTGGCTGCCGACAAAAATGTCTAAGTATTTTAAAGACTCTGAAAGACAGGCATCTAGATTTGCCTGGAAATCCAGTAACTAGCTATCATTTGAAGACTCTTCTCTTATACGAATGCGAGAAGCATCCCCGAGAATTAGAATGGGACGAGACTTGCCTGGGGGACCGTCTAAACGGTATTCTTTTGCAGCTGATTTCTTGTCTTCAATGTAGAAGGTGTCCTCACTATTTCCTACCTCAACTCGACCTTTTTAAAGGAAAATCTGCGAGTTCTTTAGAGAATGCGGCTAAACAATCTTGGAGACTAACGAGGGAACTTTTAACAAACGGAAGGTCTCTCGAAAAACTATAAATTAATATACTGTTACATTCCTGATTTTTCGTCGTCATTGTCAAGTGCCAGTGAATGTTTCTACATAAATGACAATCTTAAAGTATCTCTAGGCTTTAGACTGTGACTAGACCGGATTTCCTCTAGGTATGGCTTTATAGATTAGTTCCCTAACAATCTTAAATTTTCGGTCATCCTAGTAAAAACATTTCAATATCAGAAAGTGGTTGTGCCGAATCTGTAGCCAGACTCTACAGCCAGTTAGAATATCTTCCCTTTCGACAACAAAGAACGACCGAAAATTCTTTATTGACTATTGTCTTCGATCTTTCTGCAAAAGGTAAATATTGTAAGGATGGTAATCATTTTTGACTATTTCTCTCCAATATTAGGTACTTTATCTTTGACATTACATGATCTGTAGAATGATGATGGTGAAGCTGTTGTACAGATTTTGTACAGTAGATATGTAATTTGTGAAAACTTGTACATAATACAGTTCATATTCAAAAAAAGCATCTGTCTGTCTGTCTGTCTTATTCAAAAATTATAGCGTAATAATAAATTTTTTGAATATGTTTCCGTTTAAAATAATTCTACCGTTCATTAGATAAACTGTTGGCGACCAAACGTAGTTTTACATATAAGAGAAATAAGAGAACGATGTTAATACAGACCTATTATCATTAGAAGCAATAGAATTCAACAAATAACTACTTACTATAATTACGTCTTTTCTGTTTGAAATAGATATAAGCTTATTTTAGAAAATTAATAAAAAATTTAATTTTGATTCTTTTTTAAATATAAGAATATAAAATTTAAGTGTACTTAGTCATGTAATTACATTTTTATTTTAATCTGTTATTATACCATTCTTCAAAGTTAGTTTAGTTTATAGATTCTCTGCAATGCGGTATAATCAAAAATGTCTTTTATATAGTTATATTATAACCTTTTTTATTGTTGTTATTATTGCTATTATAATAATAATTATTATTATAAGCGCTAATAATAATAACGATAGCCTAAACATTCATTTAAGAATTAGAATTCTAACAATTATTTTTTAAAAGGCCTAATTCATTGATTAAGCAGATTTTTCTTTCGTGTTTTTCTATTTTTAAGTATATATAAGTAGATTTTTTCTTTATTAATTCAGGTCTGTGTTATAATTCCTTTAATCTTTAAAATAAAAATAACTCTAATTCAGATACTGTGATCCAAGAAATGAATAATTTGCGTTATTACAATAATGGTAACATAATACAGTAACACACATTGAAAAATTTAAATAAAAATTATTTTGAAAACGGAAATCTTCAAATTAGAAAAGCTTGGTTTTTAATTATTTCTCTTGCTGCAAGTTTCATTTGTTTCAAAACCGTATAAAAGGGAGTATACAGATGCAATTTAATAAAATACGCTATATTTTATTTTATTCAAAAAATGAATAATTTTTTTTAACCTTTGTTTATAAATTAATAATCATAGAGAACAAATTTATATTATGTTTTTATCAAGTTTATTCTTACTGTAATTGCAGAAAATTCATATAAATTAAGCTTTATCACAGCCGTATATGCCGTTTCGTATGATTCTTAAATTCATTTTGGCTTTTACTTAGAGACTTGAAATTTTTATTTAATTAAGATAACTGCATATCAATATTTAATTAATTGTGAGTCTGTACACACACTATTTAAATATCTCGCTAAATAAGTTGGAAAATGTTTTAGATATTACCACAAATCGGTCAATATTGGATCTATTCTAATGTAGACCTTAAAATAACATTATCACATTAATAAATTTCTGTAGAAGATGTTATTTCCAATAATTTCCCTTTCGTGAGTGCTGACATGCGACACGTGCGTTTGGCACGTGTCTCGGTTGTCATGTGTCATGTCCTCTGACGTCATTCGGTATCATGTTACAATGACAACATAGAAAAGTGTTTGAAGTAGCCTATGGTGATATCCAAAAGTGCTCTATAAAACATTACTTTTGTGTTGTTTAAACGTCTGAGATTTCAATCGAACAGTTAACAGTTAACAACTGACAGAAGTCCAAAAAATAATCTTCAAATAAAAAGTCTTTCTGTATTCTGTACGGTACAATTGATCCAGAACGTTTGAATTTAAAAAGGAAACAATTTACATGCATTCAAATTAGCAAAACTTTGAATTATTTGCCGAAGTGAAACGATAAAGATAACTGCCAAATTATAATTCTGAATAACTTACTTTAGAAGTAATAAATAATATATATAATTTATTTTATTAATCAAAATCGGGAACAATTTTTATATTAAAAATTGCTATTAAATTTTAGTTAGTATATGAAAGTAGCTATTTAAATTAATGAAATATAACGACATAGAGACATATGAATAGATTCGTTGAAACTTTATTCAAAACCTATTATTATACAATCGATGATGAGGTAGAGGTATGCAGTCATGCAAATAAGAACCATGAGTCAATATGAGTTGCTGTCTACATTTGAATTTATGGAAGGGAAATACCTAGTTTTGAACCGTTTCATAAGAATAAAATTTTCCTATTATTTATAATTCTTTAAATTGTATTTTTTCATAAATTTATAAAATCTTAGCAGTTAAAACAATGTTGAAATAATTTTTAACAACAGAGACGAAAAAATGCTAAATGTATACCTATAATAAATAAAAGATCAGCCTTTTCAAAAATGGTGATAACGACATGAATCAATGTTTAAAGCCATGCTATCATATAAATAAAATGTCTTTTGAATAAATGACAGCTGAATATATTATTTTTTATTTTTTCTGAAAGAATGCAGTTTGTATTATTGTGCTTAA